GGTAGCAATCACTTGGGATTTAGCCTCTGCCACTTGTACTTAGAAAAATAAGACATTCTCATAACCTGCTCCTCCCAGGAAGATCCCACAGTCCCTTAGCTGGGAGTGGGAGAAAGAGGGAGCCCTACACTCTTGGCTGTAGTTGCCTGAAGTGGAGTCACACGGAGCTAGGAGCAGGGAGAAGAAATGGGTTATAAAATTCCACAGATTCTTTCTGTTCTTACAAAGTCGTAATAGACTTTCTCAAGGAAATGTGTCTTCATTTGCTGTATACTCTTAGGACAATTTCCAGAGACTTCAAATAGTTGCTTTTTAAATAATTTTCACCAGTTATACTTGTTTCACTAGGGAGAGGATCCACAGAGCTTCTCAATGCTATTCTGTAAGTGGAATCTAAAGTGGTCTAACGCTAGAGCTGGGTCCTCTTGGACTGACTGAGTGGGGATAATCACACAGCAAGCTAACTAAAGACAGGTTGATGGGTGCCTCAGCGGATGCCCGTACAGATGGTTGACCATTGAAGACTGATGCTCACCAATGTCTAGGTGCTAAATAAGCCCCTAGAACCTGAATGCTGCTGTGTTAAGTTTCTGCCATCTGGCAGAACAGGGGAGTGGGGAAAAAATTGAGTTGCATAAAAATGACTTTCTTGCACTACAAAAATTGTGGAATAGGCTTTATATCAGCTATAAACATGCAAGCAAATCTTTTGACAATGTTAGCTGAAAGAAGGGAGCTGAGGGAAAGAAAGGGGATGGAGGAATAGGAGAGGCTTTTTTTCCTCCTTGTGAGAGCTTGGAGCCTGCTTAAGTGCTCATGGGAGGGATTTGGTTCAACTGGAAAGGCTAAGGATACTGGGAAAAGAAAATAATTGACAGCATGAGATTCCTGAGGCTGGGGGATGGCTTTCTATACTATTGGAAAGATAAAGCTGAGAACTAGAATAAATCCAGTTTAGTTTGTTACCTTTGGTGGCTAAAATATGAGAATATATTTATTTGAGGTCTTCTATTTTCTTGGTGAAGTAGGAGTTAAGGTTATCTTCCAAAAGGGGAGAGTCAGTTAAAAGTTTGAGTGGAGAAAGTTTGAAGGGTTACTAAAAGGGGCAGAAAAGGTGAGCTAACAAGTAAAAGGAGTTGAGATTGTTTGGCAAGGTGGAGGGCCCAGGTGAGGCTATGAATTCTAGGTGCAGAGAGTACTAAATTGATCTGACTCTGTAATTTTTCTCCAGCTCTACTCGGTTGCCCTGGAGCATGAATAAAGAAGATGGATAATTGAGGTCATCCAGAGCTAGGATTATATCTATAAAAAATTGATAAGAATCTCTTCATATATTTTTAAAACGCATATCTTATATAGTTGTTCTCCAAATTAAACAAATCCTTTCTTTTAAATTTTATGATATGTATTTCCCATTCCTTTGATTATTGTTTTTATCTTCTCTGGCTCTTTTCCAGATTTCCCCTTGCCTTTTACAAATTAAGAGAAGCAGTACAACGCAGTGGTTAAGACAAGACTTCTGGCACCAATCTGCTAGCTACAAATCTTACGTCTAGCACCTACTTCTTCTGTGACCTTAGGCAAATCACATAGTACCTCTGTGCCTCAGTTTTCTCATCTGTAAAATGGAGGTAGTGATGAAAATAATATCCCCCTCAGAGGGTTGAGGATTAAATCATATAATGTCTATACCATGCTGAGTATGACTTGTTGCTGTTATTGTAATACAAATGAAGTACTCAAGCTGGAGCGGAATGAGATATGAAGGATTACATTCTGGCCTCTATGCCATATTCAATGCATCCCAATATTTCACAGCTTCTTTCCCCTTTTCCCACAAAGTCTTTAAATTCATGTACTCAGTCAGCATGAGGAAAGGCCTAAGCCTCCTATTATTGGAGAGTCATTATTTCTTTTATTCAAGGCATTATCTTTTGCCTCTAAGTATTTACAACTGAACCAGAGTGGTAGATGGCCTTTATCTACATGTCTTTTGCTTCCAAATCCATCTCCTTTGATAACCACTTCTGAAAATGTTGTACCTTTTCTTCCCCACAGTCCTGATTATGGGCAATTTTTATAAAGTACAAGGTTCTCAATTAAGCTATAAGCCTTCTTAAAGCAAGGTACTGTGATTTCTACTTTTTAGTTGCCTGAGTACCCAGAAAGTTGCCCTATGTAAAATAGGAAACAAAACAATAGATGATGACAATGATGATGATGATGATGATGATGATGATGATGATGATGATGACAGTACCACAATTTCTCAGCCTTAGCTTCCCTATCTATTGATCTTTGTGGGGACAACATAGAATTGATAAGGGAAAATAGGGCTCTGAGGCCAGACTGTGGTTCAAATCCTAGTTCTATCACTGACTGATTGTATAGCCTTGAATTAAACAAATAGACACAACACTCAGAATTGTTCATTAACAACTTTCTCTTTTTCTCCTCCTATTCTTTCCTACCATAAATCTCAGAGCCATTATCAGAGTGGCCTCTTCCCCAAGTCAGAACTTTTCTAAAACTTTCTACCAAGAGTTAGGGTAGGAATTTCTTTTCTGCCTTAAAGTCCTTCATACCAGCACTTGTTACTTTGAATCTCTCAGATGTTCCTTTCGCTCACCAGGTTTATTCCAAGTCATGTTTATTTATTAAACATATTTATTAAGTACCTTCCTTCAATTCTTTGTCCCAGGCAACACCTATTTTGCAGCACGCTTACCTCCTTCCCCAAAGATCTCTAACTTTTTTTGCCCTTTATTCACAGTTGCTGAATTCCTATTCTGTGATACCTTTCATAATTGGAAAACTTCATCATGTCTTCCTAATCCCAGACATGAATTCCTTTTTCTCACTATGCCAAAAAATACTCAACTATTTTGCCTTTAACAGGCAAATACTGTAGATATCTGTTAACTCATTTCCTGTTTAGAAAAAAAAGTACAGCTGGCTGCCAGCATTAACTTAATTCTACATAAACACGCTCTTTGAGGCTGAAGCAAATCTGACTGGTTTTCAATGTGAAAATAAAATATAAAAACTTTTCTTGGAATTATTTCTGAATAGAACTTGTCTCTAATCCTAACGTAATGGAAATGCATACATAAATCAGATTCACCAAATGAATCTTCAGCCAACAACTGATAGATTAACATCACACATAGGAATGTTACATATTCTAGAAACTGACATTTTTAGCAATCGAAAATTACTGTATTTTGTAAATGGAAATACCACTACTGAAAACAGAATGCTATAAACAGAATGGTGTCATTTGTTTCCAAAGACTATCAATATACTAAAGCAATGAAAACATAATAATAAAAGTGAGATATTTCATTGCAAACTTAGGGGGTAAGGTTAGGACTATAAGCTGCGAGTTATCTCGGGGTAAAAGCTGTCACTGCTAGTGCCGTCAGAGACTATTCTCGGGGCGAAGGGAAAATGGGTTAAACGTTTGTTTGGCTCCATTAAGTCTGCATGTTTTATGACAAGTACTGAAAAGGAGAGATTACCTTATCTACTTTGTACTACATTGAGTGTAGCAAGATAGACACAGATAATTTATAAACTTCTGACTGATGATGCCTTGAGAAGAAAAACGAAAACATCTTTAGTTCTTACATGAATCATATATTTCTATCTTTGATTACAAAATGACATACACCCACCTATCATACAGAAATTTGAATACAACAAATATCGTAAATATTTTACAAGAAAAAGAGCTGGCAATTTCATACTGAAATTTTTATATGATAGTTGATGTTGTTTCATATCTAGTTTAAAGTACTTAATTAAGGCTGTGAAATATTGAAGACAAGAAGGGCAAGATGGAGGAAAGGAAAGAAAGAAAGAAAGGAGAAAACAGAAAAACACTCATAAAATTCTGAGTAAATGATTCTGTGTACAGTGGCCTTTAATGAGAAAATATACATACACGAATCCTGACTTGTGCTTTTGAATTTTTTTGAAACCATCTTTGTTTTACACATTTCTGAGGATATTTCTAGCTTGATTGAAGTACCTCTCAGACTTGCCTTATTAATACTCTATTACATATAATAATTCCATACCTCTTCCCTCTTTCTAATAAAGACTTCCTTTTTTTTTAGGTAAATCATGTCTACAAAGCAATGATCCTTTTTTAAATAGCAAACGTAACCAAACTGCCAAATATAGGAGAGTATAATCTTCTTGGAAAACTCTATGCTTATTCCAAGAATAAGGCCACTTCTCAAAATATTTTTAGAATTCCTCTTAGGAAACATCTTTAGTTAGTTAAACACCACATAGTAAAGTAAAATCTTGTTACTTCATAGAGCTCTCATTTTACTATATACTTTAAAAAGTACCATTACTCACCTGATTCAATCAACTTGACTTCAAATTACATTTTTGGCTGCATCCAAAAATCAATTTATCTCAAAAGACAAAGATTTTTCTACCATGAAAGTTATTTTTTTTAAACATGAAAGCATTCTGAGAGTGGCATCCTCAAAATTATTAGAAACAAAAGAAGCTGGTTAGAGTAAGGGTTAAGCCTTAAAGCTTGCCAAGGCAAATAATGTTGGAGTTGGGATGAAAAACATTAATTTTTAAGTTTAACCTCAGAATGCTTTTTTAAACAGCCATATTTATTTTCATATTCCAGATGGTTGGACTTTATGGTAATAAAACACATTTTCAAAATCCTAAAATGGTTTTAAATGGAATATGAATTTTAAATTTCCCGCAAAGATTTTTAGAAGGTTAGAGTATGGAGGAAGTGCACCAAAGTGTGTAAAGATAAGAATTTTTCGCTCCCAACCTAAGCACCCAAAGCATGTGTCAGAGGTGCAAGTTCTAGAAATGTGAAGTTCTGTTGTATGCTGGTGATTTAAAGGGACCTTCAAACAATTCCGAGGGTCTCCGAGATTCTTTCCTGAAACTCTCTGTATTTGAACAAATACTGATTGCATTCAATGATTTTGTTTCTTTATTTCACAGTGTCATTCCTGTAATATGAGCTTTTCGGTAATCGTGAATTTTATTTTAGTCATTTTTAGCACAATACTTAGTTGTGTGGTTTAAGATTGTTTTAATTTTTGCATTCTACATTCATTTTGGCACTTTTGAAGAAGGGGACATCGCCTCGTATGTTGTTTGGGGAACGTAGTAAGCCTTCTCCCTGTCTCCTTTTTTAAATGTTTGGCTTTATGAAATACACGATTCTCCCCGGAACCCTGTATCATTAAACGAAGGGGGTAAAAATTTGCCTTCGCAAGCTGTGCATTCCAGCCCCTCTTAGAGGCTGGTATCCCTGGCTTCGGATTTAGGCTGTTTGGCCACTCCTGTCACCAGCTCTGGCGGCCCTTCCCGGCAGAAAAGTACAACTGGATTTTTGTGAGCCCATAAGGCCATGTCCCCTCCCAACCCGCTGGTCGGATTGGAAGAAGGCAACCTGCCGCAGGTCCCCAGCCGGTTGGCATAGCGGTTTCGAAGGCGACTGCGCGTTCTGGCCTGCAGGCCCGGGCCCTGGTTGGGCAGGAAAGCGTCCACATTCCTAGTCCGGTAACCCTCTTCCCGGCTGCGCCCTAGGAGCATCGAAATGTTGGGGTTGCGAATGGCATAGATGACAGGGTTGATGGCCCCATTGGCCCAGGTCAGCCAGAGAGCCACCACGTTGAGAAGCGAGGGGGCCTGCGTGGCCTGGGCCTGCCGGGCGGCGGCCAACAGCACCAGGAAGCAGTAAGGCCCCCAGCAGCAGATGACGAAGACAATCATAATGAGCACGGTGGTGGCCGTGCGCACCTCGCTGAAGAAGCGCAGCACGCGCGCGTAGGTGGTCATCGGCCGCACGCGCACGTCCGACAGGCGCACCGCCCTGCAGATGTGGTAGTGGCAGAAGCACATGAGCAGGAAGGGCAGCAGGTAGCAGGCCACCACCAGCCCCACGCTGTAGGCCGCGCCCAGCTGCTCAGGGTCGGGGGACGTCCGGTACAGGCAGCCGTGGAAACTCTGCGTCGCCGGGGACTCCCGAGGCGCGCGGAGCAGGTCCCAGGGCAAGGAGAAGCCCAGGGCCACCAGCCAGGCGCCCGCCAGCAGCTGCAGCGCACGGCGGCGACCGATCTTCTCCCGGGGCGGCCGCACGATGGCGCAGTAACGGTCCAGGGAGATGAGGGCCACGCTAAGCGTGGACACGATGCCGAAGCACGAGCTGAAGAAGCGGCTGGCCGCACAAAATCCGCGCCAGGGCCCCGCGGCGGCGGCAGCGGCGGCGGCGGCGGGCGGCGAGTCCCCGCGGGGCGTGAAGAGGTCCAGGAAGGCGGCGGGCAGGCAGAGCAGCGCCGTGAGCAGATCCGACAGGGACAGGGACAGGATGAAGGCGTTGGTGACGGTGCGGAGCTGCCGGTGCTTCACGATCACCCCCATCACCGCGCAGTTGCCCAGGCTAGACAGCAGGAAGATGAGCAGGAGGACGAGCGCCTGGGCCGCCACAGCCGCCCCGTGCGACAGCAGCGGAGCGGCCTCGGGGCCTTTTTTCCTCTCCGCCTCCCCCGCAGCCCCGTGCGGGCCGAGGCCGCCGCCAGCCCAGGCGCCAGTGCTGTCGCCTCCGCTCCCGTCGCTCTGGTTCCCCAGCGCCGCAGCCGCCGCGGGAGCCACGGTGCTGAAGGAGAGCACCGCCGCCGCCGTCACCGCAGGGGAAGTCCCGCCAGGTGTGGCGGGGGCGGAGGGGGAG